AAAAGTTAAGTTGGTAGACGGAATTCATTTCAAATAAGAACGTTATTTTTAAAACTGAATGTCATATTTCGGGATTCAACGTGAACAACAACTTCACATGGAGACTAATTTGACTGACTAGACCGAAAAATACATTTAGACGGATCCGGATTGCCTTATACAATCGATTTGTGCTACAATAACAGTGATATTAGTTCAGCCCAGTCTGTTCTACTGAAATGAAATTTTGATACTTTATGTCAACACTATTTTGCCAGCCAACTATTAAACTACATTACTTGAAGATGTATTTTCCCTAGGCGGTTCTCCACAAATGTATATATTTCGTTCGCGGTACATACAACAAAAAACCAGGCGTAGGTAAAAGGAGAACCAACATCCTTAAAGAGGCAAAAGTAAGATTCTCTAAGTAACTGGTTCAACATGGTAAAAAAACGTAATTTTTTCAAACCTCTGTCAATTTAATCTTCATTTACGTTTCAGAGCAATATGAAGCATTTCTGAAGTTCAATCACGATCAACTCTACAGTCGATTTCAAAACTCCCCAATGAGTTGTAAGTTTTCCATCGTATTTGTTCAGAATAATTGCGTTCTTTTTGGTTGACTATGAACTAGTTCTCGTTTGAACATTGCCGTATTTTTCATTTTAAGTCAAATGATATTTTCCCATATATTGTCCTGAACTCTATATCTAGGTTCAGTTTATTAGGCAAAGTAATTTATCGAATTTGGCTTTTTAAATGCTTTGATGTTATAATCTATTCGAAAAATAATCCAAGCAAAGAATCACGCAGAAAATTTGTTTGCTGGGTTCATGAATAAATAGGTTTGAAATTTCACTAAAGCAAACTACAATCATGTCCTTCGTTAGATTCATTAGTGATAACGTCTAAATATTTATCGTCACTCAGAAGCCCACACTTTTGTTTGGTTTCTATTGATCATCGACTTGAACACCACCAAAACTTCTAAATTTTCTATCCACTCGATTATCTTTACAAACAAAGGTGTTCATAAAGTCATTAGTACTTTTGAAATTCAGTCATCAAAGTGGTTATTTATAGACTTTCACAAATTCTACTCGTTTTTGGTAAGAATTTGAAGCATGCATAAAAAAGATATGGTTAGTAAGTTGAGTTACGGAAAATTGTTGGAACCAATCGTTTTACAAAGATATCCAACAGGATCGTTAAATTTACTTTCTTATAAAGATAATACTCACAATCTTGGTGTAGGTCGTTGCTGGATTCTTCATCGGTAAAAACGGAGTTAAATTTAATTTGACGAAACATTCATTCAAACAAAATGTTTTGTTCCTTTATGACCCCTTTTTACGCCAAAATTTTCCCGAGACTGAGCATTCTTTCTGTCGTAAAGTGCAACTGTTATCATAATTAGGGACCCAACTCGCAGATAATAATTTAAAAGGTAATGTGTAGTAACACATAGCACCAGTTAATATTTTCAAAACATTTAATTTTTCTTGATTTTATTTCCAGATGTGTCCTGAAAAATGTCACGTAAATCACACGATAGAATTTTCTATCTCCCAAAACTATCTACTGCCTTCCATCTGGTACTGCATTATTGTTGGACTGCTTGAGTTATTCTGAAGATGAACTTTAACCTTGTTTCTCACGTGCAACCTCAACTGCCTTTTCCCGATCTCTAAGCGTTTGCCAACCACATTGTTTCTTGTGTTTCAAAAATTTATCATAATTGTACTCGTATAGGTAGTACGCGCCATACGTTGCATGTAATGGGAATTGTCAGATCAATGCTCAACTATTTTCTGTATCTCTTACCATATATTCTCTGTGATGAATGATTTTAAAGGCCTGTTAACATCCTTAGAAGTTTTATGCCTTTCAAATTAAGTAAACCTGGTAAATAAATGTGATCGTTCTCAGTTACTTTTTGCTAGATTAGAATATAAGAGTTATGGATCCCAATCCCTTGAGTTTATAAAATATAGTAGTTTAATAATGTGCTTTGAAATCTTACTAATATTATCATCGTCAATAATCATATTTTTACAGAGGATATAATATTCGCCTCCTACTTCAGTTTCTGGTACGCTCGTAATTGTAGCAGGACTGGGTCACTGAACACATCTAAGAGTACAGTGGATATTTCCTTTATCTGACCGATGGGAATTAAGCACCCGGAAAAACGTAGTAATGTAAAATAGTGAGAACCCGTGATTGGATGCGATAACCACCGCATGCAAAAAGACGATCGCCAGTTGGTTGAGTTTAGATATATACATAATTGGTAGCAAGACTCCACGGTGTAGATGTCAAGAGTTGGCATGTGGAACAGAAAACCTTGTGATGGGAATGTGCATGTGAACGGTTGAAGATCCCCAAACTCGTAATAAGCAGTTGTCTAACACTTGCTTATTCTGGTTAACATTTCTTTAGCAAGGGTGTATTCTACGGAATAAGGTTGCTGACCCCATGCATGGGACCATCGGAATGGAACTCGTCACTATAATTCAACTTCCTCGGCTGTGAGTAGGCGTCTGACGGCAAGGATAGGAGAACCTTTTTGGACACTAATGAGAGGTCGTCAACGTCACACAGGATTTATGCTACGGACCACGCTGCAGAGTCATGCATAGAGGACAGCTGACAGACTCAAAGTGAGTAGCGTAGTCAGATAAAACTGTTTACTGTCACTTCTAGCGATTGACTGAATTATGAAGACTGACATCTGAGGGGAAGCACGGAATACAATCGACAACTAGACGATTTGAGCTTCTCAAACCATCTAGCACTTCTAAGCCATACACACGAACGATTAAGGGTCGAGGTAGCCAGTTCAGCAGCAGTAAACGGAAACAACAAGGCCCTCAAATACAACACGGAGAACGCCAACCCTTTCAAACTTGGTGGCAAAACTCTGGAAGGTGTGGGGACTTTCACGTTCCTGAACAGCAGTACCATCGACGAACAAGGAGGATCTGATGCAGTGATGTAAGGGTGAGAATTGGCAAAGCAATAGCGGTATTCCTACAGTTGAACAAAATATGCAACTCGAAACAACTGTCAACTAATATCAAAGTCAAAATGCGGACGTCAAGACAGTTGTATGGTACGAAGCTGAAAGTTGAAGAGCTACAACCATAATCAAAATAGTACAGCCATTTCCAAAGAATTGTCCACGTAATAAATCGAATGTCTGTTGACCGGATACCGTCAGCAAGAGCTCACTTTAGGAGAAAGCAAACCAGCTTTCAGTTGTAGAGCAAATTAGAAAAAGACGTTGGACGTGGATAGGAAATGCATTGCTGAAATCAAATTACATCACAAGGTAAGTGCTAACTTGGAATCCTGAAGGGAAACGGAACAGTGCAAAACCAAAGGATACTGTGCCGAGAATTACAAGCAAGCACGGAAAGGATTGCCCAGGACAGTTCGATGGAGTATGCTGGTGGGCTGCCTATGCTTCTCCACGGTCGGTTACAGTTGTAAGTAAGGAATGCCTCCTGATTTTTGGTGGCAACCAAGCTAAGATTAACTCCTAAGTTCAAATAGCAATTTTCACTTTTACGACAAAAAATGTTAGCTCACAAAACCGTAGAATTATGGTAGAGTCGCTGTGCCACTGAGTTTTGTTCCTTTGCCTGTAATATCGAACAACAGATCTCAGTTAGTCGCAACTACTCTTCATGATCACGATACACTTAAGAAAATCAAATTTAAATGTTTGGTAAACAAAGCTAAGACGTTAATATTCAATCACAACAATGGATTTTCAAATATTTACCATAACACAACCTGCATGTGCATAGGATAGAGGTTCAGGTCAGCTTTCAGTAAATGCACACGTTCGAACAACTTTACACTATTCTGTTTTAGTGTTTATTTCTTTAATCACATAAACATTGGTACAAGGGGCACCAAAAAAATATGCCACGTAAATCATTCGGTTCGGCTGGGATACTGCCCGGGTGCCCAGACCGAAGCAGGTGGTTTTCCTAGGGTGCCACGCCCCGAGCCTTTGACCTAAAGGTCTAACCCGCAAGGCAGCGGAGCATCGTAAGGTGATGCGGTCCCATGGAAGCCGGTGACCAACAATTGGTTCATACGCCATTTGTTCCCGCAGGATACTGGAGCCCATGTGCACCATTGGTTTGTGATCCGGTTAAAGTGCCGGACATTCGCTTTTCGTCCTCTCATTTTCGTAAACAACACCCTCGCCACGAGAAGGCAGTGAGTAGGACTTCCCTGGCAGAGGCTATATACGCGTGGCCGTGTGACAGCATTTCGAGAAGGAGAGCGGACTCTCCTCACTCTCGGCCGTACCAGGGCATTTGGGGGCCTGTTTTAGTGTTATAGTCACGAACGTTTTGCGACTAATGAAAGACTAAATACGACAGTGAACTAGAAACACAAATTAGTATGTACTTACTGTAAGTACTCACGCCGTTTCATGTAAATTGGTGCTCTACATGTTAAAACTTCAATTAGGCGAAAACGGATGAAAGCACTTGGGTTAAAGCTTCATTCAGAACTCAATAGTAGAATGTATTTTAGCATCTAAAGTGCGTACTTCATTTTACTAACTTAGTGTTGGACATGCTAAATCTCCAAACACTAATTTCTTCCGAATATTATCTCAAGACCAACTTGATGCGAAGTGAAATCTGGTTTCTACTAAGCCATTCGACATAAAATTAGTTACTTGATTTTAAGATACCTTATTGTATTCGTAAATTCACTATGACGATTGATCAGTCTGATATAATTTGTAATGAACAATCGGTATATAAATGGACTGATGTGAGTTCAAATTATTCCTTTGATGGTCCTTACCAATACATTTTCCCTATAAGACTTCTATTTACTCTTTGCTTTCGCAGAGAAGTGTTGTGTCAGTCGTCTGGTTTATTCAGTTCACATGGATCCCATTCGCACAAAGAATCTCCTAGTCGTTAAGAATTTAAAAATACAAAACCTTAACTCAAGCCACAACGGTAAGCAAAATAACCAAGGCAACTTAAAAAGTTATATGGTAGAAACTGGATTGATAAAAAAAATTTCAAAACTATGCACAAGGTGAGCATGGAATATAAGAGAAATGTGTGGTTTAAATCCGATTTTATGTAAAGTAATTTCCTACAAAAAATCCCAATCATTAATATGAAACTGGAGATCATTGTCATTTTCGGTGTTTGTGGTACCTGTAATGGATTTCTTCGACCAACTTATTTTAACTGCAACATCAATCCACTGACCCAATAATCGACGACATTGTTCAAGAACTATTTTATCTGGTGATATACCAATATTCTGTAATTCTTTCATCTCGAATATTAGTCCCGTCCACCATGTATCATTATTGATACATGGTCTAAGATCATCATCAACTAAACTATTAATTAAGCCAATGGCATTATGTCCGGTGACAGTTAAAATTAAGTTACCGGATGGATCTTCTAAATGAAGGAAGAATAAAGGAAGAATAGATAAGCTTCGGTATAAAATAAGAATACAGATTCGTTAACTTACCAAGAACCACACTCGCAAAGTGCTCTGAAAAAGATTTTTAAACAAGGAAAGATAAATATCTGGGCATTGGAAATCAAAATAGGACATCTACGTACGAGTGCAAAACATTTTCGCCGTAGATTGTAAGTGTATGGAAGCAAATCATCTGACCAGACAAGACAAAGTGAATTAGTTGGTATACAGTTACAATGACCTAGGATGAATTTTAGAAAGTATTTAAAAGACATTAGATAAGTCAACGTAAAGCCTGGCACGGATGCGTTGCCATAATATCAGCACGACGAGATGTAATGAACAGGATAATAACATAAGAGATCGGAATAGTGTAGCAGCAATGTTAATAAGACTGAAAAAGATGCAGTGAAAAGGTATGTATGAAGGGATACTAGAATTCAACACCGAGAGAAAGAAAAGAGTGAATGCATCTGCCAACGGTTCTGATCCATGCCACCCAAAGTCTCCAACCACTGGTTGCGTTAATCTCGCGAACCCGACCACGTAGTCTAGATTTATCAGCATGACTCAGATCAAGTTAATTACCTCATGAACTGATTGCCCCCAAATGCCCTGGTACGGCCGAGAGTGAGGAGAGTCCGCTCTCCTTCTCGAAATGCTGTCACACGGCCACGCGTATATAGCCTCTGCCAGGGAAGTCCTACTCACTGCCTTCTCGTGGCGAGGGTGTTGTTTACGAAAATGAGAGGACGAAAGTGAATGTCCGACGCTTTAACCGGGTCCCAAACCAATGATGCACATGGGCTCCAGTATCCTGCGGGAACAAATGGCGTATGAACCAACTGTTGGTCACCGGCTTCCATGGGACTGCATCTCCTTACGATGCTCCACTGCCTTGTGGATCAGACCTTCAGGTCGAAGGTTCGGGGTGTGGCCTCTTAAGAAAACCACATGCTTCGATTTGGGCACCCGGGCAGTATCACAGCCCTCACACATATCGAATGAGATTTGTGTGGCGCATATGTATTTGGTGCCTCTTTGTACCGATATCTATGTGTTGAAATAAATAAAAATAATAAATACTTCATGGACTGATACCACGTTTCTTCTTAGCCCCCTAACTTTAAAACAAATCCTACATCAGATAACATTTCCCATCGAGGTAATTGGTGACAATGTACATGTAACATGTCTTAACCATCTCAGCTGACGAAACTCCATAACCTCCAACGCCATTTACCAACGTCGTCTAGTACCATATGCTTAACTTCACTAATGATAAATCAACCGTCCTACGAAATGCTGGCAATGCTCCGGAGGCACGTACGCATGTCTTTTACTTTTAAGAATAAGTAGTTATAGGAAAAGTAATATAAAACCTCAGTTTCCGTTAATTAGTTAGCATGGGAAAATTGCCGTGTTCTGTGAAAATTAAGATATTGTCCTGTCCATGTTGGTTTTCTATATATAGCACGTTTGATGGAACCATCTATCCTACTAATCAGAATGTCAAGAAAATGAAGTTGGTTGTTCTTCTTCACATGTAAGAGAAATGTGCTTTTGACTACTATTAAATTCTTCTAACAAGCGGTTTATGTCTTCACGTTTATCCCCTATGACTATTATGTCATCTACATATCGTTTATACAGACCCATCTTTCGAATTGAGTCTTCAACTAAATTTTCCACATATCCCATGAGCACATCAGCCAGCAATGGTCCCAAAGGGCTACCCATAGCTACACCATCTATTTGTCTGAAGTGTTCACCTTCAAATGTGAATTTTACATTAACTGTACACAATAATAATGAATCTTCAAGAATAAGTTAAATATTGCTAAAAGCCACTTTAGTAGTTACTTATGATATTGGAATAAGTAAATTCAAATTAAATTAACTAACAAGTGATAGGGTTTCCGTCTTTTACACTAAGAATAAACTTGTGTTGTTATATAATTATCTCACTCGAATGATTGATACCAGAAAGATCGAAAATAGAAAACTTGCATCATCTAGCTAGCTTAATAATAGACGTTTGGTAAATGGGACTCTGAAAATTCTAAATTGTTCAGGGTGTTGAAGAAATTGTTTTTTAAGAAATAAAATATAAAATATTATACTTACTCATCGTCATCAGAGATACTGGAACCCCTGATTGAAAAGGAACAATTACTACATGTTAATAGTAAGCAATCTTTTAACGTTTTAACATCCAGTGGAGCAATGTCAACTACTCGAGCACATAATCGGGTGTAAACGACATTGAGATCTGATGAGCTGAGCAGCAGATCGGTACAGGTTAGCCAACTGTCAGGAGGAACAGGTGGAATAAATTCTGTTTGTATAGGATATAGTAAATCCCAATCACTGAGTTGTCTTTGCTTTTCGTTAACTACTACAGGAATATTGCGTATTTGTGAGATAGTGAGCTGCAAAAAAGAAAAAACAACCACATTGAATCTTCACATGAAACATACAAATAAAATAGCATAAGTATTGGTTAAAAGCGTTTTGCCTGAAAATATACGTCTAGTAGAAAATAAAACGAAGAGAAATGTGCGAATTCGTGGTATTGCTCAACCATATTCTTTTATCTTCGAAGAGTAACTGACATCTACTCGACAGTGTTGAACTTCACTGGTCATGGCTTCTCATAAGACTGCGAAAATTACCAGTATAGAGGGTTCGTGGATGTCTGGATTATATATATAACTGGTAAGTGAACTGTCAAAAGAATATGATAACAAGTCAATTTGTTAACCGTCACATAAGAATAAGGAGACGAATATTAAGATTATGGAAACATACGTAATGTATCTTGAAAAAATGTAAAGAATAAAATTTCTGCCTTAACCCGCTTTTGTACAGCCTCTGTTGATGGACAAGGTACAGAAAGAGGTTTAAAAAGACTTCTTTTGACTACAAAGGTTAAGTTTGTGAATTTAGATTAAAATAACCAGTCTATCGTCTGAATTAAGGACAATTGTGAGGGAAGAGGATTTCATTTTACAAGGTAGTGCATCGGGCGGAAAACGAACTTCGATTGTTTCTACAACTCCGAATCTAAAATCGTTGGAGCAATTTCTTCACTGATATACCGATAGAATATTCAAAACCTCAGGGTCTTGGTTTACTCAGATATACACCATTCAATGCTGTGAAACTCAAAACGATTGTTCCTTCGGTTTATGTCCCGATGAAAGACAAAAACATGAATTCGTAGGTGCGCACCTCTAACTAATCTAAATAACTACACCTGACTTTAAATTCGCCAATTGTCATGACTGATTACGAAGATTCAGCGTTATCAACATTTCGACAAGTATATCCAAAAGAAATCAAAGTATTACCATATTATTTTGAAAACATCTGGACCGTGAGAATAAAAAAACGCAGAGATTACAGCGATCCAATTTTTATAATTGTACTATGGAATGTCCACATTTCCGTTGTGGAAGACATGCCTAAAACGGACAATGTGATAGAGTGATACTAAAAAGGACTTAGTCAACTCATTGGGACCGCTTATCTGAACATATGATGCTCTAAAAAAGGAAATGAGTTGAAAGTCGGACATTTCTTTGTGAGAATCCAGCAATAAGACTTAAAAACGGAGTACTTGGAGGTAGCAGAACGTATTAAACTAGTCGTACAAAATTATAGAAATAGATCGATGCTAGGTTGTTTGCGCGAAATGGCACGTGATTCGAATTTGAGTATTTAGACATATTAAACGATGTTATAAAAACTTAAGAGTGTAAGTAACATTTACGTCTATATTACTTTAAGAAACCACCATTTACACACTCGATCTTGACTTATTATATTTGCTCGGTCAATGTTTTACTACATTATAAAATCATCCTTTGCAACTTTCTCGTAATGATGTGGACCTTGTGTAACTTGCCTTTTTGCGAGCAGTTTTATCGAAGGATATTGAATAATCCATTTACAATCTATAAATATGTCGGAATACAACTTAAATATAATGAAAGCCTGGAAATAAATGAACTTACGGGATACTGTAGCTCGTACGGCAAAAGTTCACATTTTGGTTTAAGTAGTGGAGGTCTTAAATTTATTCCACTTTTTAAATTGTCTAAGAGACCATATCTATTTGCTTCGTCTAATATGTTTGCATCGTCTCCCGAAGTGAATAATGTATCGTGCAAATAATTCATTAGTAAACATTTATTACCTAAATGTTTTATTCCACGTCCAAATTTATGACCGTTACCATGTAATCTTAATTGCAAGCCGCAAGATTGATCATTTTTCTGCTAAAAAAAACAACACTTGAAACAATATAATACTTGTAAAAAATGTTCTTAAAATAAGTTTAAAGACCATCCTAGAAAAGATAAAACAAAGCATTTGTATTAATTTTTTTATGTTACTTATGTTGACTGCAATTTTGAATTGATGTTTTTGTCAAAAATTCATTGGTCTATAATTGATCCTTTTTCTATTTTAGTACACTTTTGTTGGCATTACTTTCATGAACAGATTAAGTAGATTTATACACTTATTTTAGAATAATGGAGAAATATAGTTCCTATAGTTGTTTTTCATTGTGTTGGTTGAGTTCAGAGAACACAGAAAAACTACATTACACTTGAGTTATCAACTTGATATTTGGTGTATTGAATACATCTTTTCATGACCGTTCGATATATGGAGTTAGCATGGAATTAAGGAAAGTGATGTACTATACTGATGTATCCTCGAAGTAACTTCCAACTAAACTCTTTTATATAAGTATTTTAGATCTATTTTTAAATTATGATTTTTAAATATCATAGGTTGTAAGCAGCTGACGAGAACCAAACAAAATAAAATAAATTTATGCTATTCTGCTCAAATCTTTGTTCTTGTTTTCTTCAAGGTTATAAAGGGGACTGTGTGTATGAAATTTCATATATGAATATAAATATTATTGTACATTAGAGTAAAGCCTGATGACGATCTAATTGAAAACTATTTTTCCCTTATATATGTTGCTATAATTCACAATATGGGAGTTTTTAAGATTTTAGTGAAAATAAGAAAACCATCTACTTCTTACGGTACCTCTGTGAATTATCTAATACAAATAGTTAAGACAAGTAAGTATATTGCGTAAAAAAATAAAAATGAAAGACTCAGTGTCTGATATGCCCTCCGGATCAAAACCGGGTTAACTTTCACCTCATATGTAACTTCAGAAATAGTAAAATGATCAGGAAATACTCTCCACTACTATTTTAATTATATTCCTATTTCGGATGTTCGAGTGATCAAGACTAACGCCGATAGGAAAACACCAGGATCCTCCTATACATTGATCGGTGCTTTGATCAGAATTAGGATTGTATCCAGTAGGTTGTTATTAGTGCTAAGTACACAATTTGCTTTTCTTCAGATTTCATCTTCAAGATGGTATGAACTAATCGTTTAGTTCTTAGAATTAAACAGAACACAAAAAATATTAGAGTTGGTGTAAATGAGAATCGCTATACGTTGTGAAGTTTGGAATACACCAACATTGTAGCTTTCTGTACGACAATGGCAAACTTTAAATAAGAAAGCTGTTATCAAGTGATGTTTGTGAAGGTTGAATAAGTGAATGTGGTAACGGTAATGTAATCTCATAAGCTATTCTTCATCAATAAATCCTCACATTTATAAAAGGATTCTCAACTATTTGTTATTATGACCTTCCGGCGACCTTTTTCGAAAAACAGTTCCCAAGTCATTCTACAACTCTGTAAATGTCTACGTCGGAATTCATGTTATTCAATGGAAATATTAACTTGTCAACTCGCAGACTGCGAGTAGAGAGAAAATTCAGCCTACATTATTCAAATTCTTATTGGTGGATATTGTCATGCTAGGTTAATTACCGAAAGATTTGATAGGGAGTAAAATTAGAAGAAATGACTGATGCTGTGATGCCAAAACCTCACAAGTTCTGACTAATGGAAACTGGCTTTCTACCATTCTCTCATGACAAGAACAGGACATATAAATAGATGACATTCAGAAATGAGTTAAGATAAGCGTAGCAACGGAGTTGATAAGAACTAACCAATAGTAAAACTAACTAATTAAATGTGATAATTAGCCACTTTAACATTTGACTGAATTTTGTTATGTCCAACTGATAATTTATTTTGGTATGACGTTCTGTTAAGTGCGGATAATTATTACACTTAGTTTTGACGTTTACGCAGCATAAAATTCGCTTTAAGTTATAATTATCTGAATGTAATTATTAATCTCTGTAAAAAAAGATGTATTTCTTGCAGGCCAGATTTTGTTTTCTTAATAGTTAGGGCCTAGTTTAAGAATATTGGGAGCATATTGTTGAAGAATAACGGAGAGGATTCACTGTCACATTAATATTTTGAACTGTGTAGCAAAAAGGTTCAGATTATAATATGAATATGAAAAATAGATGCAGTATTAGAATCAAAGGTCAACGATTAAATACGGACTAGACTAGCTGTCCAATCTCTTAAATATCCATGGTGATATTAACGATCAAAAATGTTAGGTGACAGACCGAAATCAGTTACAGCGTCGCAGATAAAGATACTGTTCTCTAAAACCTAAACTTGAATATTATTTTACATTTTTTTATTTTGTGAACCTATTCCTTCTTTACAGACTATATTGCTTATATATAGTGCTTTTGACAAACATATTGGTGTTCCAACTATTTTTATACATTTTGTTAATTTTATATCGTTGTGATGTAGTTTGGCAACTGGAGCTGAAACTCATTTGTCCCTAGTCCTAAGTTGTTTTGAATAACTGACTTCTGAACCGTTTACAGTGAACAATAAAGCAAATATGCCATTAAATGAGAAAGAAACTATTTTCAAGAGAGTAACCGGATCGATGACCACGAATATTATGCATTCGAACTGACCCACCGAACTATTATTTAACTTTATGTATGGTTTTAAAAAGGGGAGAAGCAGAAAATAACCACTGACTCACATTATTACTATTAATAAGATAAGTTATAACTTCCGACATTTTCGTAATACTTTGTAACACGAGTCTAGACAGCATAAAGTACATATGTTTTCCTATTCCTCTCTGATTGATGTTTAGATGAAAGTATGAAATGGCTTTCAGTTATACGCAAGTTATTGAAAACAGTAATTAACAGGCTAACAACTTTAACCTAAAGTATAATTTCTATGTATACAAAATTGACGATTTTATAATATAACTCAATAAACAACGACTTACTCGACTACAACTAACATGCACATTATGAATACGTATCAAATCACCAGGTTTAATGTTGACAATCGGTTCAGTAATAGCGTATTCATCATAAATGGAAATTGGGACAGACCAATCACGAAAAGTTTCCATTGAATTAGACGAAAAATTTGACTTTAATACTTTATCTAAATCTTCTTCGTTATATGTTTCATAGTTCTTCAATATATTTTCATTCCATTGTTGTAAATTGTGCCCTGTTAAGGCAGCAAGATGAGGATCATGCTGAGAATAAGGAAGTAATTGAAGTAAATGATCTTGAGAAAGACCAATAAAAACAGTATTTTGTTTATTATTAGATTGTGGTCCATCCCATATATATAGAACAACACGATTATCAATTTCCACAGAATTATAAATACTGATAATCTGGAAAAAACAAACATTTTTTGACAAGCCAGTTAATTTGTTTGTTACAAATAAGCAATAATATTATACATGAATATATAATGACGGAGTATATAAATCCACTTTATATTACAAGCATTCTATGGTATCACAATTATACTGTATAATAAACTCCAATCGCGTATGATATGGACGAAAACAAAGACAATTTACTGAAATACTAATTTTAGGCTAATGATACTGTCTGTCTACTACTTGTATCTCAGTAATAGGACAGTAGTTCGAACTCGCGACCTAATAGTGGGAGAAGGAAATATATGAATCAATGCGACATAATTGTAGTGAAGGGTAGAATTTATAAAGATGATGCCACTGTAAGCACAAGAGATATGATGGAAGCACTTAGATATTCGTCATATCCCAATATGAGGTTGATTAGGTATTTTAATTCAGTCAAAAATTTATAAATGGGCAAGAAAATGCTAATTCTATCAGTTAATAGAAAAATAGGAACACTGGATTTCTCTAATGAATATCATTATGTATTTTCAACCTGGATAATAGCTGTTTGGAAAAATTAAAACGATTGCATGAATTTAAGAAGAGGACTATGGATAATGTTATATAATTGTTGTGATTACCACAAGAACTTTTAATCAATAAGACAGAATGGAGTCAGGGAATTTATCTGGTATATAACAAGAGTTAAGCATTTATTTTGTGGGTCGATAGACTTTTGATTAGTCGTAAAACATATTTGATTTTATCATTAATTTTGGCTTTTAGAGAACATGATCTCATAACTTTCAGTAAGAATCTGAATCGAACTTCTTTTGTGGTGATTAATCAGTCAAATTAATTTAAAAATTATAACAAAATGAGTACTTACCTGTCCTTCAATTGTGCAATATTCTTCTCCATTCAGAAGATCAAGTCTTTTTATTCCAGATGTAATAGTTCGGCTTACTTCATTACTACCTTGTTCGGATGAAATTTGTATATTTTCCCTTTCAACTGGGCAGTTAGGAGAGATATACCACTCTCTTAGACGTTCTATTATTCTCAGCTCTTCATCACCAAACTAATGTACCATAAAGAATATTTTTTTAGAGATTTTAGAAACTGATTGTGAAGGACTGAATATTTTATTTGAGAAAATTGTATCAGCCCTAAAGTGTTGGTCATGGACGAAATATTTGTACAATAACAAAAAGAGCTCGTTCGGTATTTGTTAATCTATATCGTCTAAGGCTTTTACAGAAATTTAAGAAATTTTCAACTGATTTATTGTCGTTGGCCCCAGATTTCTGAAATTGACCAGGAAATTTTTATTGACCCACACATAATAATAGATACAGATTTTGTTGTTTAAGTTATACAGAATTACATATTTGTGGGGACAACTGTAAGGAGAAAACATTGAACACACAACAGCCTCAAGGTTTTATCCATTAGTGTTCTTGAAACGAACACAAGAAAAGATCTCGGCAGAATAGGTCAGCTTTGTCATAACTGTATGTATTATATATTTCAAGTGCTTTTTGGAAGTATACATTCAATAAAATTCTTTAAACAAATATTGAAAAGGTGATTATCTGACTGGTGCCAATAAATATTTAGGAATAAGACCTGACTGTTAGACCTCATATTTGGGTATTGCATTAAAATGGTGAATGAAAGGTTAATAAGACTGACAAACAGTCAATAAGACTACACTACGACACTATTATTGAGTCGATAAGCATAAACTACGAGTGGAAGTGATGAGTCACATTCATGAGATTCACTAAAGGTCTTTTTCAAGAATATTTTCTTTACCTATCTTGAATCACGCATTTTTTTATGAATCAGTTGAATGAGCGAAGTGAAATTAACTACTAAGTCTACATATTCAACTAATTCGGTGTAAAAGTAAAAATAAAATGTTAGATGTAAGCTCCTACTGTTTATCGTTAACTTCTATAAATTTATAAATAGGGTAAAATAAATGAAAGATATTTTAGCAATCTATTGTCAACTCCGGTTTTATATTCATGTATTCCATATTTAATTTCGTAAATAATCGCTGGTACATAGCGTTAGTACAACGGTGAGTCAAAAGTCCGAAATGTTACCAGGATACGTTTATATATGCATTCTCACTAAGCAGACAATCATGTAAAATAAAGAAAAACAAATGCAGAAACAAGTTGGCACACTAGTCAACCCAAAATGCTAATCATTATAAGGGTTAATTAACTTAAAATAGTGCCAGAAGATAGACATTGAATAAAATACAAACACACAAGAGCATATGAGACGTAAAAGTATAGAATTACAAGGACACGAATATAAATGGCATACACGCACAAAAAGTCATAATCGCTTATGAACAGAACAGTCATCAGAATGATAAAAATGACTTAATGGTTAAATGTCGTCTAAGTCAAGAAAGTCTATTCAAATGACAGAAATCACATAGGCACATAATAACAGAGAAACTGCTACAACATAAACAGTTGCATTAAATTAATGTAGATATTTGAGAAGGAAAGGTCTATCGACAAAATGGGTAGAGCATGATCATAATGGGTCACTTTTTTTCTAATTATTAACATATAACAATTTAATCCAAAATTTTCCATCCCATATTTATTTTAACTAGTGTTTTTAGTTGAAGGAAAGACAAGGAAAATACGGTGAACTAATTGTATTCTATTGTATATACTTTTACCTTGCTAAAGTTAATAAATGGAAATTAGTTTGCATGAAATTCCATGCTTGTTAAAAACGAAGCGAAATTTTCATTCATCTCATCCTGAACAGTCCATTTTAGAGACAGTTAGAAATAATTCAAATATATTGGCGCTCTCTTGTATCAATATTTATGTGTTCAAATAAAATAATATCTATTATTTATTTATTTAAACACATTGATACAGGGAGGCACCAAGTACATATGTGCCACACAAATCATTTTAGCCTTCTTTTACATTTCTATTTCTAAAGATATAGATACTAAAATATCGCACAGTACAGAAATCTTTTGAATATTTTTTAAATTTTCCAATAATTGACAATGTCCAACCTAAAGTTCAATGAAAATCAATAACTATCGCCTTTATTGAAGATCTCTGTAATTTGTAATCAAGATTTATTGTCAGTTTAAGAATATATCTCTACAACCCATTGAATGATAAGTACTTATTTCTTAAACTAAAGTTAACGATAAACACGTCACTATTGATATAGACCTTCCAGAAGATAATATTAGAGTGTGCACTGATGGTGTTGTTTAGGGAAACAATAAGAGGCTTTTTAGATAAGTCATTTAGAAAAGAGAATAAGACTAATAAAATCACCCACCTACGCTACAAATCTCTATTGTTTCAAGAACAAAATGTATACTCAATTTCCTTGAAAAGATACTTGTTTGTACATAACATGTAACCAGCAAACCACACTTTAGACTGCTTATGAATATCCGTAATATATCAATTTCCAATGACTCAATCTATCATTTATCATTCACTTTCTATGTCCTTTAACTAAGAGTTATCAGTCAGTAACATTAATAAACAACTATTGTATACAATTTGATAATGTTCACTTACAAATAAAATTAACTCACAGTGCATCGAGTGTTTGATTTAAAAGGAGTCAATGGATCCAAATGAACACCTGAAAATACAGCTGCACTGAAACCTGTTGCACCATAACCGCAGCCTTGGTTTCGACCATTATATTGTTTTATTACAAGCCTATGCATAATTATAATATCTCCAGGACTTTGAATCTAAAATAAAAGTTTATGTTCAAAAAAATAAGTTGAGGACTTTAGCAATATATAAAAATTATATGATATGTAGTTGACGTGATCGATTTGATTGATACAAAAATGGAAAACAAACTGCGATGAAGAAAAACACGAATGAATAGAGAATACGAGTCCGTCTGTCAGTACTTTATTTCTCATTGGGCTGAGAGGAAACAACATTTAGTTGGACTAAAGAATAATTTATCAAAAATGAAACTCGCTAAACACGTTTTCAACTAACCAGAAATTACAATGGGAAATAGTCAAACTACGTAAACTGGTTGGTCTAACAGAACAAACTATTAAATAAGATTATTCAGACTATGTTGCGACATGATTTAAGACCTGATGTAGTGAACCCAACCGTTGCTGCTACCTTGATGTGGTAGTCGGGCTGGCCTATTGTGATGAACCAATAGAGCTATACTGGCTGGAACAATCGTTCCTCAAGGTCCTACCATGCCAGACAGGTCGTTTGAAGAGTGGTAAGACTAAAAGCAGGAAACCCGCCAGAGGGCTAAGTTGTACTGCTGATTGTACAGAGGTGTGACAGGGGTAAGGTGTTTCCTTCGGACAACCAGCAGTACAGCGATGCTGCTCTCCCACAAGGAAGAGCGGGGTTGTAAAATGTTGACTCTAAAAATGCACACCTTGCCTTATTCCACAGATCTCCGTCTCCAGCAGTAAGATCCCAACAAGTAGGGAGCTAACACGAAAATTGCTCGTAAAAAGGCCGTGTGTAATCGACCTCAAGAAGTTGTCCCTTGGGTACTGCAGTCACGGTTTCAGATCACTAAGACTACCTATAACCTGATTTCCTTTTCAGGAACCTTCATAAAACCCTATCTACGGTGTGGGTAACCAGGAAGTGATAACCACCCTCATACCTCTAGCAACAAAAGATTGCTGCGTTCATAATCAATCCCTCTCTTCAATGCCTATTATTCCTCCTACCTCGAATTTCAACGCTAAAATTCCTCTTTTGGCTTCCTCCCCAAGTATCACCATGGCCAACGATCCTAGTACACGAAACACTGTCCCAGGTCTACTGAAATCTCGCTCCAAACTACACATTGGGGCCTTCAACGTATGCACCATGTAACAAATCGGCCAGCAGATCTCCTTGGTCAAAATCCTAGAATATCATACCATTGATGTATGCTTTGTCTCCGAAACACATACAAGATCTTAGTGTGATCATTCACTCGACCTCACCTCATAAAAGCGGGGAGCCGACGTGACACGCCCTCCGTTTATCTGGCAACCCGATGGCTAGTTCTCGTGAACTGGCTGGTGTAGCCATAGCACTGAGTACAAGGGCAGAACAAGTACTATTAGAATGGACTCCCGTTAACAGTCGCCTATGTGCTGTACGGCTAACAGCTCCGTAAGAACTCGGAAGGATAATGACACACGTCGTTATCTTTCCGCCATTTCTGCCTACGCTCCCACTGACTGCAGCCCGGATGAAGCTAAACGCTCAGATATAGCACTCGTAGCAAGTGACTTTAATACCCAAGTAGGTAGCTTAAACCAAACAGAAAGATATTTAGGTTGGTATTTCAGCTCAACGAACAGATAATGGTGACCGTCTGCTGCAATTGTGCTCAGACTATCTTTTATTTCTAGCAAGCACTAATTTTAAGCATAAGGACAAACATCTAAGATGGCGACTCCCTGCACCAAACCAACGACGGACTCAAATAGACCATATTGCTTAATATCTTACTTTCTACCAACTAATTCTTTCTTCCTGCACACAATCTTTTATATATTACTATTATTGAAGTTACTACTTATATGAATTCGGTGTTTATCTTGCTGTGCTAATGGGGTGTAGCAACTTGGACCCATGCATATATGTGCCTGGTCCCATGTTGTAGCTGACTGACTGATGTGAATATATTCCTACCCAATAGGCAGGCAGCCTAAAATGTTGATTGGTCTACTTTTTATCATCCCTCCTTGGTAAATTTATGACTTCTAGTGTGAGTCTACTTGAAGAGCTTTTAGTTCCCTTTTTTGACTTGCTGACCTGACAGGAGTCTGCTGTCGTTTATGTGCCTATTTTGCTGTGGGTGTAGTACTTATAAAAACCAAATATTGATTTTTGGTATTTTGATTGGTTTTTTATGTAATCTCGCTAATGATTTGTGTATTGACGATAATTTGAGCATCTACATTTTGATGCTCCATTATTCGACCAATTATTCACGTTAGAGCTTTATGAAAAATACTGCTAACATGTACCCGATGGTTTATCATGAATATGTTAGGTTTCCATAAATAATAATGATTGGACTGTTTTTTCATTCCATGATTCAGTGAAGAGATAAAGTTGTTAAGTATCTAGAAACGACTGTTAGTGTAATTTGATGCAACTTCCTTAACTTTATGTCAGTCTGTCTTTTAGCATGCCAAGTCTGGTTATTCTCCGCCCCACCTTTCAAGGTTTTTTCATATGGTCACTCGTCTGTAGCCAATGCCACGGAAGTCCCACTCTATCTTCATGCGGCAAGGTGCTGTTTACGAAAGTAATATGACGAAAAATGGGTGTCCAGATCTTAAAGTGGACTAGTGGATACAAAGGATCCCTCTATCGGAGTTCGAAAATCCTAATTTTAAACCAGCAATAAACAGAGGTTCTAGGGACCTGAGGAATTCAATGGTGTATGGAACTACGTTTGGTCATTAGCTACTATGGGATTGGATCCCCTGACTTCTTACTGTTGTCTTGTGGATTACTTTTCTATGTCATACGTTTGCGGAGTGTTCCCTCAAATAAACAACATTCTTCGGTCTGGAGTCCCGGATAATTTCTCGGGCCAGTACAACTTTAGGACGACCAAAAATGAAAATACTTCCACCTTTCTTTGTATTCTTTCGAACCATATTCATAATTATCCAGTTTCAATTTTTCATTTTACATTGAGCCACATATTTATTCCTCTTAACTTCCGTTTACGTGTACTATAAAAACACGACATTTGTATGGAGTATTTTTATTTTGATACCCGTTTGTAATGGTATTTATATATTAAATATAATAAAAAAGATTCTGATTATTTATTAATTCAACTGTAAACTGTGTTAACCTGGTTTTACCGACTGATAGCAAGATAATTGATTTGGTGACGACGGATTCTTAGTTGTCATGTGGAGCAACAAATTATTATTTGAAATTCGTCCATCAACCTATCCAATTAGATATATTGAAAAATCCCAGCCCAAGATTTTGACAGAATATCAAATATTAGTAATGCCGAATTCAGCATCAAAGTCTAAGAGAGATATGGTGAGTGGTGTATCACTGTCAGAGACTCAAGTCCAAAGTATACCATAGGTGTAAAGTAACTGACACAGTCAAAATATTATAAAATCCGAAAAATGTCAGAACTATGTTTGCGAGCAATCGACTTTATTCTTTTAATCCTAGAATAGGATAAGTGATGTCAGTGTTAGTTGGAGAGACAAGCTAGAACTACTACTCGATCAGAAAATAACAAACTCGTTCTCAAGTGATATACATTGACGTTGCTAATAAAATGGTACGAAAATCTAGTAAAAACTGACGAGGTTAGGGTAAGAATGAGAAGTTGCAGCATAAGATGCAGAAGGTATATTCTGCATCCCGATGTTTTGTCGCAGGTAGAAAAATCTCCAAGTAAACAAAAAGCACATTTATGAGAGGATTACTGAGTGAACAATCTCCATTTATTTGAACACATAAATATTGATACAAACGGCACCAAATACATACGCGTCACACAAGTCACTTGATTTGTGTGTGGGCTGTGATACTGCCAGGGTTCCCGGACCGAAGCAGGTGGTTTTCTCAAGGGGTCACACCTCAAGTCTTCGACCTGAAGGTCTGATCCACAAGGCAGTAAAGTAACGTCAGGGGATGTAGTCCCATGGTAGCCGTTGATCAATAACTGGATCATACGACATTTAATCCCTCAGCACCCTGGATCCCATGTGCACCACTGGTTTTGAATCTGGGTTTTCCAACCCACCGTTAAAGCGCCGGATATTCGCTTTTCGTCCTCTCACTTTCGTAAACAACACCCCGCCGCTAGAAAGCAGTGAATAGGACTTCCTTGGCAGTGACTGTATACATGTGGCTATGTGAGAGCATTATTTCGAGGGGGGAGAAATAACTCGCCCCATCCTCAGCCGTACCAGAGCATTTGGGTACAATCTATATTTATGGCGTAGGCGAGATATCCGTCTATCAACCAAACGACGTTTTACTGCGCAGCAGTTCGTTTCGTCCTACTTTATGGCAGTGAAACGTGGCCGGTAAAAGTAGAAGATATTTGTAGGTTACTAGTATTCGATCAAAGGTGTCTTCAAAACATTGCTCGTCTATCCTGGGACAATCGAGTAAGTAGTACAGTTGGTACGAAACGGGTACCAGGTAAGGGTGGAAAATTAGTTGATAAAGTAGTGAAACCTCATCAGTTGAGACGGCTGGGACATGTGTTACGTATGCCTAACCACCGACTGCCTCGACGTGCGATGTTTCAAGGTGTAGGAGAAGGTTGGAAGAAATCTAGGGGCGGCCAGACCAAAACATAGCACAAATCCGTGAAGTCACTGACAATTGAACTGTATCATGTTGGTAGGTGTAAACTACCTTGTTGGGATCCACAAGACGATAGCAACCGATAGTTAGAGACCTTGGATGATATGACTCAACGTCGTTTGCAACGGTGCAGGTGCACCTACTCTTTGTGTTATCCCAATTTCTAACCTTCTGAATTCTTCATGTCCTTTTTATTCTTTCCGAATTTATTTCACTGGATTATACTCCTTGAATAACGTCTTCAAACCCTGGTGTTTCCGACTAGTGTTTATATTCTTACTACTCCTACCACTACGGGATTTGATTCGACAACTGCATCTCTGTGCTAATGTGGTATGGCAACTCGAACTGATGTACGTACGTACGGAGTTCCACATTGTTACTGACTGACTGACAATCTGGTTACTAGTGGGCTTAAGATGGATTGTGGAAATTCAGCAGTAGAAATAACGTGGATGTGCCTACAGTAATAACTAAAAATCGTTCCAAATTGATGTTACAGTAATGCTTTCTTGGAGTAATTAGTAACCATACAGTGAAGTGATAATCAGTCTTTGTTGGCCGACAGATGTGACGATATGGATACCAATTAGTCGCATATCTGGTGATATTATTTATTTTATTGATTGGTAGATTTAAAACTTTACACTTTCAGGTAGGCTGATAATGAGTCTCTTTTGAAAAAAGACATCAAATAAATTGTCATTTATCTGAAGAAAAGTTTTCAACGACATAAAACGAACTGTACCTGAGGTAAATTTCCTTCCGCATCATGGAAAACGATGCATGACATTTTATCACCGTTTAAAGAAGGATCAGTGATCGAAAAAAATAGTGAGTATGAAGAACCTTTGGTTTTTTTCGGTTTCTTAACATGTTTAACAATGGCGATTACATTGACACTGCCAGACGCACTTTTCAGGTCCACATATTTATATCTCGACATGCTTCAATTGTTTTTATCCAGAAACGATTGTTTTTATATTGATTAAAAGTATTCTTTTATATGAAGTCAACAGAACATTCAGTTGGTTATAAACTAATGTGTGGAATTCATTCATAAACTGACTTCTTTGACCAGTGCTAACAAAACAAATAAAAGGACGAAACAAAACTAGCATTGGTACCATTATATAAGTAAAACACTAAACAGAGCAACATAGAGATATGACCAATACGTTGTATTTGCTTATTCATAACCAAAGCATATTAATGCAATCGAATATGAAAAATTTACATCCAACTGGGAAAATATAGTTTTGAGGTGAAAAATAGGAATTCATATCTAGATAGTTAAGAGGTCACATTTAAAAGAAGTAACAATTCTGAGTTACAATATCATTCGATGAATCGTAACCAGTTAAGGTTGCTCTGAAAGATCACCCCGAAACCTTTAACTATATAACCTAATGCAAATGAGGGCAAACTATATCTATTTATATAACACCCATATCGTTCTTGCAAGACCTCCGGAATAAATAAAACCAATGAAAACCACGTGTACGTTGATATTTTGCAATATGAGGTGAAACTGTTATCTCGGGGTTTACCGTTATTAAGAAATTAACAGAACTTGTTGCACGATTGATTGGTTTTGTTGGTTTTTCGCACATAAGCTCTAGTTAACAAATAATACGTTGAATTAAAATTCCTTGAAGAAGTGATTTAATATAATTACATACTCAAACATCAATGGAATTACTGGTTCTCAAGTATGGTGCATTTTAATTCCAGGATGACAAGTTCAGAAACGTTAGTTATTCGGAAAAATGAACCAAATCTCCTAACCTTCACTAAAGCAACATCTTAAACAACTCAAGTATTTGATTGGGTTTCTTCGACTGAGCAAAAATAATCCAGTTTTATTGAAAATGTTAATATTATCCTTTTTTTACATTTCCACTATCTTTTGAAAACATTTTTTTTCACTCACCTACTAAATGTAAGATACATTCCTATTATGATTCTCTCTTATGGTTATAACCTAGCTATTCCTATTGCTTAGTATTCTCGGACACCGATTCACTCGACAAGTCCCCAAATCAGAACACGGTTGGACTGGAAAGAGATTATATTCCAAATAACAATGTTAGATGGAAGCAAGAAGGAAGTAATTGCAATAAGGAAAACGTTAGTATATTTATAGTTTTTCCTATGAGATTTCTAGTGTTCACTAAGTATTGGCTAACGCTGATTGGATAAAAATTAGCCAATCAGCGTGCACCAAAGCAATCGTGCACTGAGTATGTTTTAAACCAGCCTACGTCCCGCTAACAATTCCATAAACGTCTGTCAGCTTTACTCCAAACGACTAAGAGTACGGATGTTTATCCTGGACTTCAATATCTAAGTAAGAGCTGAGATAGGTAGAGTATTATTTTAGTGCTTTTCCAAGAATTTGGTGTCAATGAAGCAGTAATAGTGACTTCTCGAAGATTCGGTTTCAACAACTTGTTGTTAGCCAATACGAGCTCAAATGTTAAAGTAAATACTCCCTACTTTGACGGTCGTAAACATTAACTTGACGATATACCCTGATAAATTATATTGCTAACAGTCGTTAAAGATAAACAGATGATTTTTACTCTTCCTACAGTAGCCGTTTGCATTCTAACCACTTTAAATAAAGGAAATTCGAGGAGCTTGAATATCACTAGAGTTGATTTGAAAGTGAGTATCAAGTATGTATTTCAGGCAAAGTTAGCTAAATATCTGGTGGAATATAAGAAGTGATCTCATTGTAGTTTAGTAAGGTGGTGTTTAGCTCATGGTTTGAAATTTTAAAAGCAAATGGTTATCAACAATTAAATGTCAACTCAACACTCATGCATCCCAGTCTAATTTAATAGCTGTATGAATACTCATTATAATTGGGTTTAAGCAGTTAGATGAACATTTTTTGTTGGTCGCGAGTAGTGTTAGGTATCGAAACCAAGAGGGGTGTTGGAAGTGTTGGTTATATGTAATTGCTGAATGCTGTTTAGCTGCCTAACATACATACATTAAGCGATGTGGAAAATTAGAGTCCCGCTACGTTCAGTTGTATATTGTCACTAAACAGCATAGACACGACAGCTAGCAACATGATGGAAAATTTATCTGGTACGTCAACAAAACAGTAATAATATCTCACCTGAGATGGCGCTTTCGTATGAAAGTTTTCAACGTTAAAGCCAATACTAACTATACATACATCTCTATATATTGTCAAAATAATGAACCAAGAGATAAAATAGAAGTAAAAGATTTAGGTGACAGTAATACTGTATGTGTATTTAAACTTTCTTGGATGGGAATCTCGAGCTAACTCTTATTCCAAAGTTGTATCTTTACAGAATCTACAAACTGACAAGAAAGATAAAGCCCAATCTCCAGGTTTTGAGGTTCTCCCAAAAGTCATATGAAAATTCGTAGTCTTCCATGTTTTGGGTATTTCTCCAAAACAACTTGAGATTTTGAGGAAAAACTTTAAACCAATTGGTCTGAGGGAAATTTTGGAGTTCTTGTTGCATTCCCCTGAAATTTGATATTATGGCTTCCCCAAAACGGACAAAATTTCCCCCAAAACCGGGAGATCGGGCTACAAACTTCCACTAGAGGAGACTAGGTAGAGAAAAATGTCATGTAGTACCATTATCGTTACACGGTAGACCTACCAACTGCTCCCCATAGATAACAGGAAAGGTCGAAACAACTGTAGTAAGAAAAAAGCGTTATGAGCTGCCCATTTTAGTGAATGAAAAGCTTTAGAGATAACCTCCAGAGAGCTTTGACGACCAAAGAAACAATTTCGACCTCTAGCCAATAGGAATGCAACTGACACGGAACGATTCACTTTGCTATTTGCGCCATTTAAAATCCAATGTCTTTGTGATGAGCTCAAATAAATCTACATATTACTAACCTCCATCTTCTGGTTGTTCCGGTGCGGTTTCACATATTCGATAATGTCTCATGGGCTGTAATTTAAATGGTTCAAATGGTTGTGGACTGAATAGAAGAAGCTTTCGCTTAACAGGCTTCCGTGTCTAGTAGCAGGGGATCACCAAATCCTCCAGGCAGGAACCTAGGTATGTTAACAATAAAAGAGGAAAAGAAATTGATAAATCATAGTGTGATACTGTCCTTGGTCCTTAAGAATAGGTCAAGTTGCCTCCTGAAGGACTCCTGAGAAGTCGCTTGGACTAGCTCGGCCGGCAGTGAATTCCAGCTTTTGACAACTCTTAAGGAGTAGAAGTTGTGTCTACATTCCGTCTTGCTATGTTGAGTTTGCAGTTTCTGAGTGTTACTCTCAGGATATTATTCGAACTAAACTTGAGTAGGTGTTTAAGAGGATGTCCAGAAGTGTTAAGAATACTATAAGCCATTAACAAATCACCTCTAAGACGCCTATACTCTAATGGGTAAAGGTCTAGTGAATGGAGGCGTTCTTCGTAAGACTTAGATTTGAGTCCGCGAACTGATTTCGTGGTTCGCCGTTGGATACGCTCCAAAGTGACCCTGTCCTTTTGGAGTGAGGGGGGAGTACTATATTTCCGTGCTCTAAATGGGGACGGATAAGACTATTGAAGATTGTATGGAAAGTTCTTCCGTCAAATTGGCCAAAAATGCGCTTCAATGTTACCAGTGCAAGGTTTGCTCGGAAGGCATTTTTGTCACAATTAGCGTAAGACTTTAAATCATGGGGCACCAGGACTCCTAAATCTTTTTCGACTTGGGATACTACTAGAGAGGAGTTTCCTAAGTTATAACTGTAGTCTGCGACATGTCGCAGATGGACTACTTTACACTTTGAAGTGTTAAAGGTAAGTCTATTATCATCTGCCCAACTTTGAAGTCGAGTCAGATCCTCCTGAAGTGCCTGTGTATCGTCTTGGTTGCGTATCTCTCTCCAAAGTTTCACGTCGTCGGCAAAAAGTAATAAGTCTGACGTTATCTGTTGCGGAAGATCATTTATGTAGATCAAGAAGAGAAGAGGTCCTAGTACTGAGCCCTGGGAGACCCCACTAGGACATTCCATAGCCTGAGATAAAGTGAAATTAACCCTAACCTTAAAGTGTCGATTTTCTAGGTATGAAGTAAGCCAATCGATTAGAGGTGGTTTGATACCTAGTCGTTTGAGCTTATTAATAAGACACAAGTGGTTAACTTTATCAAAAGCTTTTGAGAAATCAAGGTATATGATATCAACCTTTCCCTTGCGATCGAATATGCTTGTCCATCTGTCCACCGCAGTCAGCAGGTTGGTTATACAAGAGTAACCCTTCCTGAAACCATGCTGTTGGGGTGAGAAGAAATTTAAGGACAGTAGATAATCGTTTAAACCATCGCATATCAGGGACTCCATGAGTTTTGAAGGTAATGACAGAAGAGCCACAGGCCGATAACTTGAAGGTTCATTGCGTCGACCCCCTTTGAAAATTGGTGTGATGTGAGCCAACTTCCAATTTTCCGGTAATTTGCCTTGGCTTAGCGAGTGTGAAAACATCACGCTAAGCGGCGTTGCCAGGATTGAGGCTGCCTCCTTCAGTATGGCAGAATGAACCATATCCGGGCCAGGAGAAGTATCTAGTCTTAAGTGCTGCGGTTTCCGGAACACCAAGTCAGCGATTAATTTCACTTCGGAAAGCCCTGTGGAATTGCAGATGAAACTGTCGTCAATAGAGTTGATGTCAGCCGGCTGAATTGTTTGAGAGTAATGTGCCGCCAGAAGGTTAGCGGCGTCACCATCGTTGTTGGTCGGGCCGTTAAGACCTAGAAGTTGAGAAACTCCTGTTTTGGCTTGACGAAGAGAGGCTGCATAACGGAATAGGCTTCTAGGGTTCGAGGCGAATTTGTCCATAAGCTTTGTCCGATAATGAAGCCTGTCTTCTCTTATAGCCTTCGTGCATATGTTCCTAATATGTTTGAATTGCCCATACTCAACTGTATCAGTCCTATTCATTTTGGTAGTAATTTGTAGGTTTGTATAACTAGTAAACGGAGTGAGTTCATTTGTTTCAGGGGAGTACAGTTTCTGAAACCAGGACACATCACACAACCATGAACGAAGTTTTTAATTACAATTTGAAAAATAAAAAAGTAAAACCTTAGTGGTAAGAGGAGACGATTTTTCGAGAAGTAAATATTTAAATTAATTAATTAGCAATCCAGGCAATGTCGGCAGACTAGAGCATAGGAACTTGGAAGAAAGTAAAATGGTCATAAGCGAGAAATTAATGGGTCAGTATGTGATAATACTTCTATTAATAATAATAGATAATTTGAGAGACATGCGTCAGGTACAGCTAATCCAAGATGAAAATGGTCATTTATGGAAGTGTACGTGTTTGTTAAGTCTTTTCTTGAAGTTATCCACTAAGCAGGATGTGAGATATTCTGTTAGGAGGGCATTTGTAGTGTCAGTTATTATGTTAAGCCCATATACTTTATTCTCACTTTCGGACAGCCCAATCTAATAATTCTACTTGAGTCATATTTTAACCTTGTTAATTATTCGCTTATCAGTCTTGACTGTTTTTATATGAGCGTATATGTATGTACACTTCATATCCCATGTCTCATCACGTGTCTGTAGTTTATTTTGTCTGCCTATAAATATTGAGTAACGCCTAGCTAAAAAAGAGTTGCCTTACCAGCCATCTCCACTGCGCGTCATTTTACTTTGTTCTATTACATTCACTTTACACACAAAATATATGTATTCAAAAGCCATGCTCGTTAATTGACTTATCTAAATTCCGTTATTTCCTAATGTGATTTAAGTCGATGATTGTATACGAGGATAGGTGATAACAAACATTCGTACGATCTAAATGAGCCAGATCACAGGCCACTAAACATTCTTAATGGACCTCTATATTTTGAAATCGTCAGTGTATATGAGTTTATGAGCCAATTTTGTCTAGGACGTCATTTACGAAAATTAGGAAGAGTGGTGGACCTAAAACAGTTCTTCGTGAGACACTTAATGTAAACACTTTTCAACTCATAAAAACTCTATGCAGAATATTCGGTTCGCCAATTAATTTCGGATCCAAAATAAAGATTAGTTAATGTAACACAACCTTCGTCATGAGGAAGCGTGTGACACTCAAACACTTTTTTAGAAGTCCAGAAACATTACATGAACCGGCAGCTTTTTGACCCAGAAAGCTCTTCAGCCGCTCCATCATACAAGAAGATTGTATGAACACTTTGAGCTTTATAAATGAAATCCTTTTGCCCTTTTTTCCCTCATTTGGTCATTGCACAGTCCATCCATTAACCTCGATAGTATTTGGAGTAATTTGACCGGTGTGCAATAGGTTGGGTCTTTCTTCTCTACTCCTCAGGAGATCGGGACGAAAGTGGCCTATTTCCATTCTTTTTGAAGCTACTATGACTCTAATGAATCCCTGAACAAGCCATATAGCAGTTTGCTGATGGCTTTCCGCCACCGTTTTGGTTAATGTCCTCATAATCTGGTGACTTTCATCGCGCTAGGCCTGGAGTTAGGTGAATATTTACCATGGCAACCAGTTAGCTCTAGTGTGGAAGAGTGTTCTGAGCCATTATGTTTCTGATTTCAATGACTTATGAATTTAGTAATAGGGATTCCTTCCATTTCTATGTTGGTAAGACAACTACAACTAGGCACGGACCACCCAGTATTTCCGTTGTGTGATGAACCTAAGAGGATATTTTAGACCGACTTATATTTAAGTTGATAGGGTGGTCTGAAAACATCTACTACTCTGTCTCTTTATCTATTTCCTAGTGTCAGGCTCTTCCTTTTACCTTCAGTAAGCGTTCTGTGTTTCGCCTAAACTAGAGAGTTATCTTTCTAGGTGCATTTTTTGCTTGAGGTTCGTTATGCAGAGTGGCTCCTTAAATAATATCTCTCAGCATGACTTCGCACTTTTTCGTTACTGAGTAGTTCACAATTATACTTAAACCTAACGTCTCACAGTAGTAACATTTAGAAGACGTTCATGAAAGGGTTAAATGTTGAACTTTTATTGTTTTTAAAGACACATGTCAAATGTCCGAAAACTTGAACTTCAAACACAATTATAAATCAACATTTCTGAGAAAGCTATTCACCACATCGTTGTTTTTGGTTAATCATGATGTTATGTTTACGCTGGTTGATACCTTTCCAATACTGGCAAATGAAACCAGATTTTCCTAGGCGTTTTAATCAACGTATTAACTGTCCATATTCATTTCTGAAGTTATTCACTGGCTGTATGGCATTATGGTCAGACGTTACGCACAAAGAATATCCCAACAAGCAATTTGGGGGTTGCTTCGAGAGTTATATGAACTAGAACATTTGTGGGCGAGTAGTAAATAATTTACTTTTCTTTTCATCCCACCTCGTAGTCTCCGAGGTGGTTTTGTATAATTTGGGTCAAATTCGACAGGGATAGTGAAACGGAAAGAACACACTAGAAATTCCTCCAGCTAGTTTTATTGAGCAATATTCTTATTGCTTTGTTCTTTTTCCCTATCTTGTATTGTAACTTTCACTGGGGTCTGTCGTATGAATTCTGTATGATGTTGATCATTTTCTCAGATGTACCACAGTGTACCACAGTTTCCTTAACGTTCTCTTGTCCAGGCTGTCAAACACTTTCTCATAATCAGGGAAGTTGAAGTATAGCGGCGAATTCCGCTCAATTGCTTGTGTTAAAGATGACCCATAGTGTCGCGATTCTCCATCTTGACGACTTGATATGTTTCGGTTTTAATTTGAAAAGGACAGGAGGCTTGAAGGCCCTAGCACCGTTTAATTTATGTCAACTCAGTAAAATTAAGTTTCGTTCTTTAGGAGATT